AGCGTTATGAAGGCTCAGGAGGAGAAGACGGTGGTATTACTGGGATTGTAGATGAAACCGTTCAAGTGCTTTTAGCTACCTTAGGCTTCATCTTTTTGGTAAATGACACAACTTTCAGAAAAATTTGAAACTTTGGATATTGTATCTTGCTTTGACCCAATGTTCTTTTTTGCAGTACACCTACATTATCACTGGGGAGGAATTGGTCAAGCTTGCAAGGGATTACATTAGGTTCCTCATGGGAAGACCTAAGACTGTTCGATTGACCCGAGCCATCGATGGTTGGAATGGATTCATGAAGAAGATGTCGAGGAAAAGAGTGTACGATGAGTACTGGCTAGAAAAGGCGATCATCAACACGCCAACCTGGTATGACAGCCCGGACAAGTACAAACGTGTCCTGAGGGCTTATGTGGACTCGCAATCTGAGTCTTATGATGACCCAGATTCTGAGTCTTATGTGGACTCGCATTCTGATGAATAGTTCTGTTTAAATCCGTGGCAATTTCGCTCTTGTTATCCAACAATGTGAGATATTATACTAGGTTAGGAACTGGAAGAGATTCATAATCACAGTTGGGGGTTTTCTTAGGCTTTGCTTCTGCCATTGAAATGAAGAATCAGGTTGTTAAATTTGGTCCATCTTCATGAATTTTTTGTGTGCGCACTTGGTTTACACATGATCATTGAAATCCCAAAGTTGGTTTCTTACTTGATGTTTCTCATGAGGGAAATTACAACGCAAGCCAAAATTTGTAACGACATAAACCAAAATCTCTGAGATCTTTCAAAATTCAATTTCTAAGCACCAATTGCAAATCAATGAGTACAAAGAAAAGGAGAAATCAAAGTTTTTTAGGTTTAGTGGTTGAACTGCCTTCTTTCTTCTCTGCCTCTGTAGATTTCTTCCTGTCTTTCCTCTCCCTCTTCTTCAAAGAAGTCATGTGGGCCTTAAGAATGGTGGCATATGATGCTTGAAATCTCTGGTGATCCTTAGCCCCAACCTTAAACAAGAAGAAAGCATTGCAACAAGTTTAGCTTCAGTGTTTAGATCATAGACCAGTATTCGCATTCTTATCGCAGTACGAGAGCTGCATCCCCATATGCAATACACCAATTAAAATGGTTTAAAGGAAGAATGAATAGAGAGCTAAGAGAGAATGCTATATGTTTTAATCATCCATTCTCCAGAGAGAGTAACACTAGGACAATCTTTTGACTAATGGATGTGATGCTGTGTACTCCTCCTGCATAGTTAAACGTTTGGAAACAGGCACGGTTCTAGATCATAATCTTGAGGTCATGGATAGAACATACCGAAGTAGAAATCGTTTTCTTTGCATCAGTTGCTCGAATAAGGCATCTGTATTCCACGGTTTCTCCAGCTGAGCTCAGTTTCCTCTTCTGCAGCTTAGACTTCAGAGATGCTGACACAAGCAACTTAAACCATATAAGAAAATCTTCCAAAAGGTAAATTCAACTATAACCAAATAACAAAGTGATGAATGGAAAGGTCCAGACAAAGTTACATCTTTTCAAAGTAACCCACACCGAACCCTTCTCTTTGCTTTTCTCGAACATGCTCGTGAGTTCATTGAGGAATGGATCCAACTGTAATAGAACCTACAAAAACCATAAATGATGGCATAAAAAAAACGCATGATCAGCCTAAATCAAAGGAAATGGGAAAACTTTGGTTTTTCCTCCATAAGCCATTGAATGTTATAGTCTAGCGTCAATGCTGAATCAAATCCCAGCAAACACCAAACGAAGAATAAACAAATCTCACAAAATTCTTAACAACACAAGCTTAAACCGAAAAACACACTCTTTACAATTCTTCATCATGTAGCTATGATAATGTGATGGATGGAGAATTACCATTGTTCAAAACCTCAGATTGCAGAACCTCAATCACTGTATAAGACTTCTTATCTCTCGGATCGCTGAGAGATGAACATAAAGACAATGCAAGTGAAGAGAATAGTTAGATCTGACGGTATTTGACTTTGCCGATATCAATCGAATACGCAACTTCAAATACAAGCACAATTGAGACAATTTCTCAGAACCCATTCGGATTCTAATCGATTCAGATGCTAAGAAAAACGATTACATGCAAACGAAACACAAAACCCTAAATCGTCGAAAGCTTCTGAACAAATCTACACGAAAAATCAACAACAATGAAACAAATCGAATTCAATTTGCAAAGCGTCAAATCCGATTATACCATAACAATAAACCCAGATCAAAACCCAGCGAGTTCTACGAATCCAAAATTCACTAACCAGAGACTTCGAAACTGATGATCTACCTCCAGAACCCACCGGCCGGAGAAAATTCTTCGGTAATAAGAAGTTGCCGCAAGTAAAAAGACGAATATGCCCTTGGTGCCGAAGTTGGGCTTTATTTCCAACATAATGGGCCTTACTAAGCCCAACAAAATGTAAAACCCTAGAAAGGTTTAAGATGTGTTCTCCTCTCAAGTTTCTTCGATTTTGTTCGTCGACCATTGTGATAAAATCCTAAATTGTTCTCGTTACCTAAGATTGGTTGGGATCTAGTTTTGCTGCGTCGATTTGGTCTCTGTAAACCCTAATTTCTGGGATTTTCTCAGTACTTGAGAATCTGCTCTGCAACAACAACAATGGGGAAAAAAGTAGGGTTTCAGAAGAGAGGTAGCAAAAGCACGAAAACCCGCAAAGATATCGTCGACGACGAATACGATGACGAGATTGACGCATGT